CCTATTATTTCATTTATTTAAATTTTGAAGGTTTTTCAAATAGAATTCAAATGTCTTGGTACTATTCAGTATCAACTTATACTTTTAATAATTTGTCAAAATTACATAATTATATAATTGCCTTAATTTTACAAAAAAATTTCTTTTTTTTAGTAATGACTTGCTTTAGTGAACTTATTTGGCCCAATTATACCACTAAAAACCTAATAATAAACAAGAATACCGTTTTATATAAATCAACGTTATAAAAAATAATAAAAATAATAATTTAAAAAAACGCGGAACATTTTGGATATCATCCTCTCATTCGAGAATATTCACTTCAATGCAGGTTTGTATAACAACAATAGATAAACACACGCTTTGACAAACATGATAACAGACTCGCAATTATTCAAAGAGTTTCATTAATCATTAGTTTGTTTTCGTTTTRAGTATTTGACTTGGTTAAGTCATTTATTTTTCGTCACATTTTATTGAATATATTTTTTTTACTTCTAAATAAGTTATTAATTTTGATTTAAAACTATTACTTTTGTGTGGCATCCTGACTGATTTCTAAAAACTAAAAGGTATATAGTATTTATGACTATTAAATTATATTTCAAAAAAAAGCATTCTTATTTACTTGTTTTGTGAAGTATATTACTAATAYTATCATGACTACTCTACTGGACCGTTTRCAAGAACACCTGGTTAAGAAACGACAAGGGTTGAGTGATGTACATGAAACGTTAAAAAAAATTACTGGTCGTGATACGTTTGATGATCACTTAAACCATGGTAAATTTAACAAACGACCACAAGTAGGTGTAGATCAAAAACCACAATTCAGAGAGATAATAAAGAAAGATGTTAAACGATTACGAGATAATAAGCTTTCCTTTAGAAATGATAGTCAGAATCGTAAAGTTTTTGTTAACCCTACAGAATCATCAAAAATTTTCAAAAATGGAAATAATTCGGGTAGGATATCAGCTAAGGATCGTTTAGGGACAATAGTTACTGATGATCATCAGACACCTATAGCGGAAGAATACGAAAATGATGATGATATGGATGAAGATCCTATGCCCAAAAAAACCCTTCAATCACAAGTTATGTTGTCATCTAAAATTATGAAATCTCGCACTGAGGTATTAGCTGCTCAACAAGGAGATCAAGTGACTAAGGAACGGAATCGACGAATGTTTGGATCGTTATTAGGTACTCTACAAAAGTTTAAGAAAGAAGAAACTCAATTAAAAGATAAAGAAGAGAAAAAAGCAAAAATTGAAAGAAGATTAGATGAAGAAGCACTGAAAGAAAAAGAATCATTAGTTTTAAAGAAGCGAGAGCTATTTATGCTAAGAAAACAGCAACAAAGGGACATAAAAAATATAGAGATTAAAATGGGATTGGTAAGAAATTTTGAAATATTTGAACGCCAAATAAATTGCACAATGAATTTTATTAAAACTGAATTTGATCCTTCGGTGTTTTACTTGCCTAAAATACATAACGAAAAGACTGAAAAAAAATTGAGTAAGACGCGTTCATACTTGAGCAATATCTTGGGCAAGAAGAGGAATATGGTTGAAAGTCAAATTGAGAAGTTGTTACAACCTAATGATGAACAAATGGAGTTTGATGACAGAGTGGAAGATGGCGAAGTAAGAGTAGCTGATGAAGAAGAAGATGCTGATGTAGATGAGTATGAAAGACATCAAGATAATGGAGCTTTTAACTATGATTAAATATAATATTTAATTACAAGTATAATGAACTCAATATTTTGTGTATTTATTGTAAATATTGTTTTAGCACTTTCAACACTGTTTTAAATAATTAATACAAACTTGAGTTGAGCTCATTTATTTGTAGAATAAACTTTTTTTTAAATACTTTTATTTATTTTGGTATTTGAATATTTTACAAAAGATTGGGATGGATTTACATGCCATTTTAGTTTCTTGTGTATAAAATTAATATTATGTAATTTATCATAAGTGTTAGTTAGTCATTCATTGAGTTTGTCTTAATTTGTGTACCTTAATTTAAACCTCATAATTTCTGTATTAAATTAATTCGTTACTTTCTACAATCTACGATCTTTTAACTAAATGTTATTATTTAAGTTAAATTCTTAAAAGTAGATTTAAACGCTTGTTGTTCAAACCAATCTAAGACAAAAACATTTTGATTTTTAAACAATAAACAGAAATTATCTAAATGTTATTAATATGTATTATTTTTATAAAAAAAACAACATATTATATATATATATATACATAGTTAATAATTGTTCTACATATATTAATTATTAATCTTATACTTAGGTAAATAATATTTTTTTTTTTTTTTTGTATTTACTATTTAAGTAATAAACATACATATATTATTGAGACTAAATTACTTGAGTGCACATTGATGGTACAGTTTAGGGTATGCACATTCGCCACCTATTGTCTTAGTTTTATCCATAAAAATAAATTAAATAAGAGAATTGCAAATACCTACTTTCTGCCAACAAATATCATAAATTTAGTTTGGTCATGGTTTTTGAATATTTTTTTTGTTTGTTTCATGATTTGAGAAAAATAATGGTAATATTGCAAAGTTCCTAAATAAATACAATCAATGTAATTGGTTGTTGTTGATCTATACTGAAATATTTGAAAAATATTCTCAATTWTAATGGTTCTATACTTTTCTATATAAATTTTAAGCATTATACATTTTTGTAGACATTAAACAATACAATTAATGATGAATTATAAATAAAAATAATGCATATTTGAATATTTCATTAAATTCCYAACCCTATTTATTACTATCTGATGTTAATATGTTGTCAATATGAATTATGAACGCATAAATGTTGAAATTAAGGTTTAGATAGTAGAAACCAGTGATGTAGTCCTAAAAATTTTTATGGGTACACGCCTGAAACATTCTACTAGAAACATAATACATTATCCTCATAACTGAATAGCTAGATTCCATTGTAAAGAATTGTTTGTATTGGGGTACTCAAATAGTAAAATATATGAAATTATTAGGTTGTTTGGTACTTGTTATTTTTCCTTTTCTATTTCATAGGGGGTCCGTCATATTTGTTATAGGAGTTGTATAACCCGCAGTAGTGTACCGGTGTTTACTATAAGATGTTAAGATTAAAGATATAATTGGTTAATGTGATAATATTTTGTTTTATGTTTTTTCGTTTCATAGAATGTCCTGAGCATAGGCACGTGTACAGTGGGAGGGTAGACTGCGGCCTTTGGCTTTTTCTTTTACGAATTTTATAGATATCTGATATCTATACTTGCTATACTAAATTTTTTTTTACATTTGCTTATTAAAKTTAATAAATAGATACTTTATAAAATTTAATATTTAACTACAGTTAACTATACTATAGAAGTCGATCGTACAAGATTTAACAAGAATCTTTAGTGTTTAGTAGGTAATTGGTCCAGAC